CAATGACATGAGACAAAGTATATGTGAACTGCTGTATGAAAAGTGAATTTACTCTGTAAATCTTCACCCAAATCCTAAAAAAAAAAAAAAAAGATGACTGACCTGAAGGCCCTGCTCTGCCTGGCCACCCTGAAGGCACAAGGGCTGGAATTTTTGACACATACTATCCACACTGCATGTACTTGAAAGGGACACTACTGTACACCATGTACTTGTGTCAAACACAGTGCCACAAAACTCTTATCAAAGGTTTGGCCAAGAAAAACATATACATAGGACATCTTAGAAGGTATCACTGAAAACATCATTCATTAATTCAGTGGCAGCAAAAGAGAAACTTCTCTCAAGTTTTAGGGAACAGTTTCTACAGTATTTTTTTTTTGTAAATAGACACCATGAATCACAAATAGATTCAATCCCTTTGAGTCAGCTAAAAGAAAGTTGAAAATCAAAAGTCTAATCTCCTTTTACAAGTGTACATGACTTATTAGCATGTATAATACCAAAATCACCATGCTTTATTATTATTACTTTATTATTACTGTATTTTTCCTACCCTTTTAAAATTTTTGCTCTGGGTTTCCTGATTTTAAAATATCTGTACACTACATGTACTTTTGTAAGGCACATTAAATCCTTTTTGAAATAAAGGAGAAAGAAAGAGTATAATTGCATATGCAACTGTGTGTGTATATTTATGAGTGTGTTGTTGTTGTTGTTGTTATGTGCCGTCAAGTCGGACCCAACTCATAGCGACCCCTCCTTGGGCTTCCGAGGCAGTATCACTATGGAAGTAGATTGCCCCATCTTCCTTCCGAGGAGTGGCTGGTGGGTTTGAACCGCCAGCCTTCTGGTTAGCAGTCAAGTGCCTTAACCACTATGCTACCAGAGCTCCCATGTATTTATGAGTGTACATATATACAAATAAGCAGAAAAATCTATGGTTTTACTCTTTCTATTGAAAAATCTACCAATAAAATTTCACCCTCCATTTAAAGCTAATGTAACTGGTGATGCACTGATACAGGAGCAGAAAAGTAAACCGTGTTAGCATTTTGTGTTCTCTTTAGCTATTGTAGGTGCTGCATCTGCTTCTGGTTTACAGTGTGTTAAAGGACTTTCACACACATCAGTTTCATAAACTAAGAGGAAACCCTAGCACAGGCAGCCATGTAAGTTCTTCATGTCACTAAGTTATTTGTTTTTGGTACAGGGAGGAGGGGTATCTTATAATCACTGACATCACTAAAACTTTTATAAAGTAAAGAACTTATGACTGATTAAAATCAAGCTCTTTAGGGGGAAGAAAGTTTTCCCAATATCTATGTATGTACATGTATAACAAAGTTCATCTAACTTGTAAAATAACAATATATATGGTGGTTAAAGACATGATACTGTTTACACTAAGCAAGTATTGCTAAGGGGGAGAACACAGTACACACTGGACAATATAAACTAATAACTGAGCTCACCAAAAATAAATCAATCAGAAAATGCTTGGGTTAAGAGGTACATCAGCGAAACTGGCCAAGAAACTATACTCAGAGAAGGGAGATGAGAGAGATTTTCATAAGCCATCATAGTAGTACCGTGTAGTAAGGAATTCCTCTTCAGTCAACAATTTGGCCCTTGATTCTCAATCCTGAGAGCTGGATCACACTTGAGGCCAGACCAACAGGGACCACTTTGTGCCCAATGTTGACTAAGCCTCAGGAGGTATGATGTAATCTATCATGCTATGTGGTGAGACCAATAAAGGCCTTGAAGATGGAGGTTCAAGGGAACCCTTTCCCTGGAGTTTGTGAGCTGTTCCAATAGATCATCAGACCTAAGAAATAGAGACGGGGACAACAGCCATTGACCTAGCCCAGCTGAATGGGGATGGGAGAGAAAGGGCTGCGCTGGAAGCTGAGGTCTGAAGTGATCAGAGAAAGGAAGCTTTCTACAGGCTGCAGTTGCTGTGTGAAGTAGGATTTATTATTTACCACACACCGGTGTCAGAGTTGGATGATCTCAGCCTTCCCGGACTTGTCTGATACAACTGGTGATGAGGATGGGATCTACCTGAGCAGTCTTGACATCACAAATACCAATGACATTATTGGAAGGCTATCTTGAATGTATTATCTTAACCCTAACACAAAGGGTTAAAGCTATAAGCCAGACAAAAAGACTTGGATTCAAGGGAGGTTACCCAAGGCTACCCTTTGAGGCAACTAAAATACCAACCCTTTCAACTCAAAGTTGAAAATTATAGAGAAAAATTTTTTAAACATCTGGTCTTTACAGTTGGTGTCTTTTCAGAAAAATGCCAGTTAATAACTGTAGAAATAATAACAGAATTAGAAAATCACCATTTCATAACCCTGTTGAAACAAATGCTTCTGGCAAAGACCAGAAAGGGATGCTATAGCATTTGGGTGAAAGGTCACTGGAGAACTGGACTAGCATGATGCCAGAGTATCTCCCTATGTGCCAGTTGCAGGAGAAAAATGCTTTACAATCAAGATTTTTAATTATCATCTCTTTAACTAAGTGACAAATCAAAGAGTGGAGAATCAGACATACTTTCTGATATAATATAAAATACAGAAAACAAGCAATTAAGTATTATAAAAATGTCCAACTTGAATCTAATCAACCCTTGGTTCAAATTTCCAGGTCACATGAAATACAGGATAGAACAAGTTAATCATCATCAGGAGGAAGAAATCTGACAAATCCAGAATGAGACTTCCACCTGGCCTGGTCTCTTTAATAAATCAATGTCTTGGGGCCACTGAGGAAGGGGACTGTTCTAGATTTAAAAAACCTAAGAGATATAACGGGA